CTCTTAAATGAGCAGCAACAGAAAGCATCGTCTTTGAAGCTCCGTAGGAGAAAAAGAAGTAATTGCAGCTTCAAACAAAGAAAGGAAAACATTCCATTTTTTTTTTATCATTCTGTAAAAAGAAAGAAAAAAAAAAAAGACAGCTTTCCCATTTTCTAATCACTTTTCATCGACATTGATCCAAAGATGGATTAGACAGCATGCACCACATTTATCTTTCAGATTCCCTGCTATATGCTCTGAATAACTTCATTCTGGTCCTGGAGTCATCAATGTCATGGGGAGAGACCATTTGGGTCATGAAATATCCTTCGAGTTGACACCGGAGGCGATGAACACAGTGTGGGAGTAGCTGTTCTAGGAGAGCTATCACAGAGTACGCTGTAGAGAGCACTGAATTCCTCCTTAGGTCATTCAGGGTAACCATTAAGTTTGGGTATTAAAATATAAAATTAAAAATAAAAAAAAAAAAATCATAGTAATAGAAGAGAGCTTAGCAGATCGCACATTTTGTTGGTTTTGACCGACATGTTGAAATGAAAGCTGTGTCTTACAAATCCAGGCAGTCTCCCTTGCTATATTTATGCAGCACTGCCACAGCTCCTAAGCAAAGGAGCTGAACCTGGATCCAGGTGAAGCCAGATGGGGTTGTAGGTTTGGCAGCACAAAGTCAAAGGGCAGAAGATCCCAGGGCGGGGAGGTTCCTCCTCCCACCGTCTCCTTTCCATAGCCACGTGGTGCCCTGGAGCATTGTAGTCTGCCAGGACTAGCATTAGGTGGACGTTCACTTAACCTTCGTTTTCAGTAGCATTGTAAGAATTTTGTAGTGTGGAAGGGTTTTTGTAAGGTTGAAGGGTTTTTGTAGGTTTCAAGGGTTTTGGGGGGTTGAAGAGGTTTTGTAGGATTGAAGGTTTTTTGTAGGGTTGGAGGGTTTTTTTAGAGTTGGAGGGTTTTTGCAGGGTTCAAGGGTTTTTGTAAGGTTTTGTAGGGTTATGTTGGCTCTTCCTCTGACATGCCTTCTGCCCCAAAACTTTTCCCTTGCTTTTAAGACATGCAGCTGAAACAAAATCTGCGGGTGAGCAAAGGATTCTCCAAATGCCACCGGGGCGATGGAGGCCTCCCATTTGCCCTGTGCACCAGGTTGCACCCCCAGGCCTTAAGCCTGGGGCTCCCTCTACCCCACCATCCTGGCACCAGCCAAGAACCTGGGAACATTTTTCCCCTCCCGAGCAGCCAGGAGCTGTGTCAAGCTGGAGTAAAGGCTCTGAGTTATTGGCAGTGCAGCCTCTGCTCCTTTCAGCTCCCGTCTCGGCCCATTCCTGGTTGTCTCCGAGGCGCCAGGCCCTGGGCCAGCAGCAGTGCCTCTTACAGCCAGATTACACAACCCGCTCTTGAGTTTTTGAATTCTTTTCTGTGCTTGGGAGGCTTTCCCTCCTGCTCATGAGGACCGCTGAGACCCCACAGCATGGCTGGGCAGCAGTGCCAGGGCTGACGCGGGAGCCCGGTGGCATTTCCTACATGCCGTTCAAGTGGCTGGGACGCAGTAAAAACCTTCTCCGTATGGAGGGAAAGAAAAAGGGCACTGTTCCCAGGAGCCTGCTACCAATTCCCAGGGTGGCAATTGCCAAGAGGAGAAGATTTTCTGCTGCTTCCCAGCCTCCATGCCAGAGCCCAGCCCGGCTGATGGCACCGAACCTGCTCAGTTCTCTGCAGAGACTGGGCACCAAATCCTCAGTCCCCGGGGCACGACCATGCTCTCTGAGATCACAGAATCACACAGAATCACAGAATTGTAGGGGTTGGAAGGGATCTTAAGAGATCAACGTGTCCAACCCCCCTGCCAAAGCAGGTTCCCTAGAGCAGATTGCCCAGGTAGGCATCCAGACAGGCCTTGAATATCTCAAAAGGAGGCTCAGCAGCCTCCCTGGGCATCACTAGATAACCTGTCACTGATAAGCTGGATGGGAACCACTTCACCAGGTCTGACCCAGGGACCAGGTCTGGGCCTGCCTCATCTCCCCAGCAGAGTCTAAAGCAACTTGGGAAAACAAGAACAGGGCAGGCACATGGCAGTTTATCCTCAAAAAGCAACCCTTAGTGCCTCCAGCACTCTGTGCTCAGAGTAGTAGTTCTTGGCGTGTAAGAGATGGTCATCACCATCAGTCTTCTGTTCCTACCATCAACAAGCCACTAAGCATCACAAACCTCTATCAGGACCATGTGCCATCTCTTTTCAAGGCTGAAAATTCTGAGTCTGTGTAATCCTTCCTCCTAAACGTGCTCAATAACTTTGTTCGTGGCTGTGAAGTGGGTGCCCTCATCACTTCCACTGTATCCTTTTTGGGATCTATCAGGAAGCCTACAGAGAGCACATCATAGGCAAGATGCAGGTGCTGAGTGGAGTTGTGTGCTATCACAGTGATGTTTTCGGTTTCATTCTCTTCCTAATAATTCCCACCACTTATCCTTTCTTAATAATTCCCAACATCCATTTTTATCACGATCAAGTTATTATTGCAACCCTTAGGTCTTGTCCCTCAGTGCCAGATCCTATCAGAGGTCACTGTTGTGAATCTGAACTTGTAATTGGTTTGTTGTTTTGTTTTACTGTTGGCTTTATTTCCAATTTTTGTTCCCTATCTGAATTTGCAGCTGCTCTCACACCATAGCTCAAAAGCAGCCCATTACAAGACCAGCTCCGAGGTTTGCCAATCATGCCCAGTGAACATGATCAGGTCTGGGTGCATCTTCACAGCATGAAGGTCAGGAGTGTGGCAGATGGAGGGACTGTCAAAACAGAGATTGAAAATAGAAGGATCTGCTGCTGAAGGTGGCCGTAAATAATGCCATCAAAGAAGGGCTTTCATTTGAGAGGAAAGATGGAATTATTTATGAGCTTTACATACAATCATTTGTGCTGCTCTGTTAAATAACACAGCTGTAGACATCAGTAACTTTGAAAACTTGGGGCACTACAACAGTAGTGGGAGAAAACAAAACATTTTTCATTGGAAAGAGCTGCTCTGGCCACACTTTTTGTTCTTTACGTTTTGGGAAACTTGCAGCTTCATTTCAGTTTTTGTTCTGTTTGTGCTTTTGTCTTTTTGTGTACCTGCTCACCGCATCTTTTCATGGCAGACTAATGGACCTCAAAAACACCATAGGTAAAAGTTGCACTTCAGGGAGTCTCAAACTTGTCTCATTAAAACACACACGGAGATGAAAAGGTTTCAGGTCTTACTAACAGTGCCTCTTAAATGAGTTCCAAGATAGATAATGGAATAAGTCAACAATTGTATCACCTTTTCCATCCTATTGCTGTTAATCAGCATCGTGCTACCTCATGGAATAAGGTAAGAATAAGACACGGCATAAGAGCAGCTGTGTGTCATGGGGTTTAATGAAAACTGCAGCTGCAGAATTCAAAAAATGAAACGTTTTGCTCTCTTCTGAACGATACAAGGCCTTTTTTAACAGTTATTTTTTCTCCCTTTAAAATAAAACAAAGACAATTTCAGAAAGCTTTCACTTCCCATTGAAGAGAGGACCAGGTTTACCTGGTTCCCACATTCATCACTCCATGGCCACCAAACGACCCAGAGCCTTCTCCCCGTAGGCAGCTGCAGGGACAGCTTCAAACACATCTTATATGAAGGGTGAAAGTCTGAAAAAGGAGAATTTGTGGGTTGGCTGATAGGATGGAAGCCCTCCCCGCTGGGATAGAGGTTGCAATGCCTCTTCTACTGTCACTGCAGCGTGGAGTGGGATAAATCACAGGCTGCCTAAAGATGCTTAGGGGCAAACTCAGTACCCAAAGAAGAAGGATTTGTAGCAGTTGGATGTTTAGGTTTCCTATGGGGCCGCAGTGATGTCTGCTGCATCCTGCTGTGCAATTGTGACACCACAGTCTGTGTGCGGCCTCATCTCCCCTCATCAATACATCCTGGTGACAACATCGAGCTGTGGCACATCCCAGGCTGCATGTGAGCTGTTTGCATGTCTCCTGAGACTTCTTCTCTCCTTGTCACCCCCAAGCAACTGCCTTTCCTCCCACCCTTCCTGCTAGCTACCACTTTTTCCCTTTGGCAGGTGGCTCGGAAGGGCTCTGTGCTCCTGTCACATGCAGGGAAGCTTTTCTTAACCAAGTGCTGGAGTGTTTTGTGGGGATAATTGACTGTGAAAAGCATCGCTCTTCGTGGGGGACAGAAGCTTAGTGGAACACCTCATTTAAAATCTTTGCATGGACTCCCCTTCATATCCTCACTGAAGAGTTCCCCAAGTTTACAGCCCCAGTCTCGGTCCATACCAGCAGAAGCATCGCAAGATACTCTCTGGGCTGATGTCCATGGTGGGATGCTGGCAGGGGAGTGGGCTAACAGTCCACAATAAAGCCTCGAAGGCTTGGTGTAGAGTTGTTGTAAATGTTTTTAGCCTCAGAGCTGACAATCCAGCCCATCAAACAGCGTGGGTTCACTGGCAAAGTGGTTGGCAAGCTTTGCTGCAATTCCATAGCCTGTAAATAGCTGGGCCACATAATGAACATCCCATCTATATGGTGTACATTCAAACAGACCTCATTGTAATCTGAATTTTCGCGTGGGGATTTCCTGTAGACATGGAAAAAGATCTGAAGTTCTTAAAATCATTTTCACTTTTCCATTGGAGTTGTGAGTGGGAAAAACCTGAGCTGAAAGCTGAAGCATCTAGGCATTATGTTAGAGATAGCAATGGGGAAAAAAAAAAAAAAAGAGAAAAAAAAAAGAAAAAAAAAAAGATTTTCTTCCTGAAAATAGTCAATTTAAACACTGAGTGCAAATCTCATTGAAATCCCATGTTATCTCAGATCAGGAGTTTTATGGGAAAAATTGACTTTGATGTAAGACTAAAGAAGGTGAAAAAATGGCAAGCATTGAACGGGCACTAACCTCCTTCTCTTGTGTTCTGTGTGTTTTGGTTTTTTTTCTCTCTCTCTCCTTTCCTATTCCTTCCTCCTCTCGCAGCAAGAAAAACAGCAGACACCAAACAAGAGACCCTGGGAAGGAATCAGGAAAGTCCAGTCCCCACCGTCATGGGTTAAAAAGGACATCGAACCTGTGGCACAGTCTCCCTTAGAACTAAAAACTGTAGAGTGGGAGAAAACAGGGGCCACCATCCCTCTGGTGGGACAAGACATTATTGACCTTCAGACGGAGGTCTGAGCGGAAAGGGAAGAAAGGGACTTTTTTTTTTTCCGGAAAACAAACGAAACAAACAAACAAAACCACGTTTTAAAGAAATGATTAAATTAAATCGGAACCGAGCGAGAGAAGTGTTTGGTTTCTTTTGAAACCTTTGGTAAGACGGAGTAACTTTTGTATTGTTCTCAGCAGAGAGGGGAAATATTACTTTATAGAGTATAGTAGCTGTAGGTTCAGGACAACACGAGCTTTCCCAGGTAGGACTGGAGAAGAAGTGAGCCTGGAAGAAAGCGAGGAGGAGGCAGAGGGTGGGGAGGAGCTGCTGGGGAAGAGCCCTGTGGATGCTTTCGGGCCGCTGCCACACGCCGGGAGCCTTCCTGCTTTGCCACCAGGAGGTGCAGAAGGACAGCCAGCAGCCACCACAAAGGGCCAAGAAGATCGAGGTTGTTTGGGGAGCGCAAGAGGTGACGCCAGCGGTGCGGTCCGGCTGGAGGTCCTGGAGGAGAACTCAGCTTTGAGGGGTTGTGGCATCCCTTGCCAGTCCTCACTCCCCACCTCTCCCTCACCAGCTTGTCTGAGAAAGAAGGAGCCGGGATGTGCCCAGCGGTGGCCGAGAAGACGCCCCCACTTCTCCGTGCCACCCCACGACCTGGCATCTCCGCCGCAGGTCCGTACGGGGACCAGGGGGGACATGGTGGGCGAGAGTCACGTCACCCATGGCTCAGGTGGAGAGGTAAGGTGGGGCTTTCTCCTCTCAACCCCCCCGTGGTGGAGCTCCTGTGTGCCCCGAGGAGTGGGCCAAGCACAGGAGGAAGGAACCACCTCCAAAACCTGCTCGCCCCATCTCCAGGGAGAGGGTTGAAGGTGTTAGAAAAAAGAGACCACCAAGACGAATGTAGGTCATTTCATTGACTGTTACATAGATAAACTCAGCACAGGCCTTGCAAAGGTCTGCTTGGCCTCATCCTTTTTTTTTTTTTTTTTTTCTGTTACTTTTCCTTGCTTTCGGACTCAGATTTGTTCCAAGCTGCCCCTCCCTGGAAGGCAGAGAGAGAAAGAGGGAAAGACAGATCCACCGATGTACCTGGAGATATTTGGTATACAGAGATGTTGCCTTAGGACATTGAGACAAACTGACAACATGAATAACGTCCACTTGGAAACAAACAAACAAAAAAAATAATCTATTTTTTTCCTTCTTCTTTTCTTTTCTTCAATAAAAAGAGAACTTGAAACCCGAGACCTTTCTTTTCTTTGGCTCTTGTCGTTTCGAATGCCTTTCCGTGCCGTAGGACCGCGCAGGCATGGGGTGAGGATGCCACCTGCTGAAGGTGGAAGGCAACTTGCTCCGTGGAAAGTTTGGGATGGTGGGAATACACGGCCCCCTTTGCCTCTCGCTTGCAATGTTTTGCTTTGCTTTATTCATTTTGGGCTTCAGTTCTTGTCCCCTCGCTGGCTCATCTTCTCCCTCCCGACTGCCCAGAGCCAGCGGGCAGGTTTGTGGTCCTACAAGAAGGAAAAGGCGGAGTGGTCAGGAGCGTGGGGCATTCCTCATCATAAAATGCTCTGTTTATTTCATCATGAAAAAAATAACAATATATTTTTTTTTTCATTAGACATTCGTCAAGGTGATCTACAAAAAATGCTATCTACATTTCACCCCAAAAAAGTGTTGTGCAATATTTTTATCATTAAAAAAATATACCACTGGCATTCCATGCAGCCTTTTATTTCATGTATTATTATTTTTTTTAATCATTCCCAACAGTGTCTGACATTTGGGACAACTTTCCCAGCTTTGGAGATGTGCAGTGCCAAACCTCTGTCTGTGAGTGGCCGGATTCTGCCAGACAGCAGTAAAGCTTGATAAGGGTCTGAGTTATTACTTAATGTCTGGGTTTCCTTTTTTTTTTTTTTTTTTTTAATTATTATTATTTTAACGTTTTTAGGAAAAAGCTATGAACCCAAGAGGTAAAACAGTCACTGCCCCCAGTTGTGCTTCTCCCACTGAGAGGTGTTGCTGGACATGCAAACATCTCTGTGCCAGCTTTCCGTTGGGCCACCTGGGTTGTTGGTCTCTAAGGACAGTGGCATTTACCTTGCCATTAAGTGTGTAATATGACGGATGGAAAGAAAAACTTGAAAATCCAAACAGGTTAATAATAGGAAAATGATTACTTATAAAAACTGTGATATTATTGTCCAATTTTAGATTATTCTATGAAACAGGAAAGCACAAAGGCCTCCCTCAGATGCCGGGTTGTATGATATTGTAATTATTATAATTACAAATAATGAATTTTAGCAAACAGATATCTTTATACTGTGTTTTAAATATTTTTTTCTTTTTTTTTTTTCTCCTCTCCCTGCCTACCTGAACCTGCCCTCTCCTCCCCAACCTTTCCCATTCACCCATTCACTCTGGCCTACTTGCAGGACATTAACGGTGTTATGTAATTACAGAGATAAATGTTTGTTTAATAACTGTTGATATTCGACTTTCTCTGCTCAGTTCCTTCGGTTAATTCTGTTTTTCCTCACCCTACCCGCCCCATGCCATGCCATCCCTTCCTTCCCTCCTCTCTATGTTCGTCAGTTTTTTTTTTTCTGTACAGTTTTCAGAGCACAAAATGAATGTGTCTTATTTCTAATAAAAGAGGTGGAAACTCTAGCGATGTCTGCTTTTTAAAAGCTCCCCACATATGATTTGCATCAGGCCCGGGTGCTGGGAAACACCTCTGCTGGACACACAATGGCTCTCTGCCCTAAATGAGCCGTAGCCTAGGACCAAATGTGCCCCCCAGGTGCATCCTTTGCCTTTAGTCTGTATCTTCTTAGCACCCCAAAACCACTTTGAATTCCCTTTTCCATGCATCACAGCCTGCTTTTCTGTGGGTATCTCCACCCCAAGACTTGCTGCCCTCTTCCCAACCTATGCCACGAAGGGCTGATATTACCATAGACCAGGAAGGATTACTGACAGAGGGCAACGATGCTGGGTTACAGTTCCCAATGGGGTCTGGGTGATGCTGGTGCTGCCCTGCAGAAACTCATGGAAAGCCAGCCCCCGGTTCACCCCGACGTCCCTTCCACCTCCATCATCACCAGCAAGAGCATGGCTCAGAGCACGAAGGGGTTAGGGATGTCACTCATGAAAGGCAACAAGAAACGGGTTGAGCCAGGGATTATTTACTTCCTTGCCATTTCCCCTTGAGCAGCTGAAATCCTCCAGCAGTAAAAATGTGCCCTTATTGTCCTGACTCTTCTCCATCTCCTGATCAACAGCTTTTAGGTTTGTGGGCAGGCCTGCAGGAGGTTTGGGGTCTGCCCCAGCGCTACTGCTCTGCCGGGCCTTGATCTAGAGCCACCAGAGGTGCCCAGAAGGAGCAGCTTCCCTTGGCCTGGTTGGACACCATGTCATCAGGGAGACCTGTTACTGTGAGATGGCATTGGTCCCATGGTGACTCCCCAGGTGGAGGAGCTCATCCTCGCTGCAGAGGCCACATTGTCACCACTTAGAGCCTCAGTGGCTGCTGTGAGATATCCAGAGAGGTCTGAAATGGTTGCAGTGGGTCTTAGAGGTCCAGAGAGTCTTAGCCCAGTACCCCACTGTGATGATCCAGCCAATCTTCACCAGCAGCACATGAGGGCAACATGTCCTAGGGTTTCTCCATCCTTCCCGGCCCTACATCTCCCATATTATGATCCTATAGTAGCATCAGGCAGAAGGGAAATACTAACCTGCAGGCACCTTGCAAGGTAAGGGGCTGGGAGGGTAGGAGAACCCAAATTTCTTATCACAGCCCCAGAGGCGGGTCAGGAACTCCTGCTATTCCTCATGAAGAAGACCTGGAAAGAGGGTCCCTGCAGTGCTCATGGGGCTGTAAATATCAGCAGTGCTGGGGCTGATCTCGGAGCTGGCAGATGCAGGGGGTCAGTGCATGTGCTTGTGGTTTCCTTTTGCGCTGTGGTTACGATGTGGTGTGGGAGGGTGAGGGGATAATTCAGCCTCCTGAGGTCCCCCCAAATTGTCTTGATCCCCCCAAGGATCCTGTTTTGCCTCCACTCCAGGCCATAGCCATGGGGCAAACACAGAAAACCTGTGGCCACACCATGGATTCACAAGGAGAAAGCACAGCCATGCTGCATCAGTGGAGAAATGGCACACTGCACAAATATAAAATACTTCTTGGTTGTGACTGGAAATTTGAGAGGAAGCTGAAAATTGAAGAAAATACAAAGCATTTGCCCTGGACTGCCCATATAGAAAATGGGCCATGTAAAGCAAAACACCATTCCTGGAAGACCTGGGACCAGGGCAGGTTTACCCCCTGTACCAGAGATTTTCTGTGTTTTCTCTGTTTTCTCTCAGAATTGGTCAGTGGGGCTCACCTTGCTGCCAGCTGGAGCATCCAAGATCGGTGAGATGAATTTGGGCCTGAGCTGAGTACCTGCTCCTGAGCTCCTGTATGACAAAACCTAAAGAGAGAAGAAAAGGAAGATTACGTGTGTCGATCTGCTCGAGGGTAGGAAGGCTCTGCAGGAGGATCTGGATAGGCTGCACCGATGGGCTGAGGTCAACTGTATGAAGTTCAACAAGGCCAAGTGCCGGGTCCTGCACCTGGGGCGCAATAACCCCAAGCAGAACTACAGGCTGGGAGAGGAATGGTTGGAGAGCTGCCAGGCAGAGAAGGACCTGGGAGTGATGGTGGACAGTCGGCTGAATATGAGCCAGCAGTGTGCTCAGGTGGCCAAGAAGGCCAACGGCATCCTGGCTTGTATCAGAAACACTGTGACCAGCAGGGCTAGGGAGGTGATCGTCCCCCTGTACTCGGCTCTGGTGAGGCCGCACCTCGAGTACTGTGTTCAGTTTTGGGCCCCTCGCTACAAGAAGGACATCGAGGTGCTTGAGCGGGTCCAAAGAAGGGCGACGAAGCTGGTGAGGGGCCTGGAGAGCAAGTCCTATGAGGAGCGGCTGAAGGAGCTGGGCTTGTTCAGCCTAGAGAAGAGGAGGCTCAGGGGTGACCTTATTGCTCTGTATAAGTACATTAAAGGAGGCTGTAGAGAGGTGGGGGTTGGCCTGTTCTCCCATGTGCCTGGTGACAGGACGAGGGGGAATGGGCTAAAGTTACGCCAGGGGAGTTTTAGGTTAGATGTTAGGAAGAATTTCTTTACTGAAAGGGTTGTGAGGCACTGGAACGGGCTGCCCAGGGAGGTGGTGGAGTCACCATCCCTGGAAGTCTTCAAAAGACGTTTAGATGTAGAGCTTAGGGATATGGTTTAGTGGGGACTGTTAGTGTTAGCTTAGAGGTTGGACTCGATGATCTTGAGGTCTCTTCCAACCTAGAAATTCTGTGATTCTGTGATTCTGTGATTACTATTTTTAATTTGTTGCTTCGTGGTTTTGCCTGTTTGTCTTGTTTTCTTGTTTTCCTTATTTTCACCAACCTGCATCTTCCAGGAAGAGGCCAGTGGCTCCCCAGGGAAACATCTGCCTTGTGGCTTTCATATGAATAGCAAATGCCTTCAGAGCAGCTTCCAACAGCCTTCTGAGCAAGGAGTCCTCACAGGATCCATGTGGATTCATGGTTTTCCACAAAACCTTTTATTTTCCTGAGGATCAAAGCTCCATTACATCCACCAGCCCCATGTTTAAGTCGATTACCTACCAAGCCCTGGAGACAACAACATGGATGACAAACACAATTCTAAGCTGATTCCACACAGGACTTCGTGTTGGGTAGTCAAAATCATTCTTTCCTGGTAATATTCTTTAAATACCTGTGAATTCTTTTAGGCCTTGATGCTGAATAGCACCAGCAGAGAAATTCACTGCTGACTGTATGCATGCAACGTCTGAGTAATAAACATCTCTCATTACGCTAGGTCATTAGCAAGTTGAGTAGCTGCTACGTCTGTAATGCCATAAAAGAGACCCAGGGGAATGAGGCAGTCAGGTTTAAGTCACTCTTCAGTCTCTTTGCTGATCATCTCAAGAGAAGTCAGCCGTGAAAACCGAGCTCCCTTCCTACACCCCAACAGCTGCCCATGGAGGCCTGTGGCATGGAGGCGCAGGCCGTGCCTTGCCCACCTCCTCCTGGGGTTTGTGCACATCGGTGAGGAGCAACACCGCTTCAGAAGACATTTCACTACCACCACCACACCCAGAAAAGCTCTGGAAGTCCCAAAACTATGTTCTGGCACCAGGTTCCCAGCTATCAGCTGATTCACGGCAGTTTGCTTCTTCAAAAAGCGGCACCTCTTGGCTCCTGCTGAGTGCAAGATCTACTTCAGCTTCTAAACTGAGAAATAAAGGACAGGTGTTGTGTTTTGTTGAGAAATAAAGACAGGCAGGACTCACAATGAGTGGGGAGAATTATCATGTGAGGATTTGGGTGATCTGTTTCACTTTTTCTCCTTTCAGATTTCATTAAGAAATAACAAGGCACAGGAAGGGTGCTGCTCTCAGCTGCTGATTCCTCATCGACACAGACACACCAGGGCTGGGTCTATGCCATCACCTCTTCCTCTTGACCCTAAAGCCCTTTAAGTAACAGGCCAAATTAGAGGAAGAGGGAAGTCAGTATGGCAAACAAATTTTCTGCTGTGTAAACACATGCAGCTCTGCTGGCAGCAGCAGCTGGGCAGGTGTTAATATACTTGTTTATTGCAGGACATCATCAAGGTACCGCTTCAGTTAATTAATCCAGATCTCTAAAGAAATGCAGGTACATGTCTGAACATCAAAATCAGTACAGGAGAAAGGCTGAATTTCCTTTCTCAGTGTGTCCTGAGCAGTCAGTAGTGAGAGGCATTTCTCTGCTGGGTGTCAGGAGCACTTCATCACTTTCATGTGCCCAAGGAGTTGTTCCTGCAACGAAAGCCACTGCCATGTCCTGCCCAGAGGTCATGGAGAAAAATGTCCTAAGTGGTACAAAATGACAGCCTAGCCCTGAATCTTTGACACATGCACGTTTATAGGCACACAGATATATATATATGTGTGTGTGTGTGTATTTTCCTACACACACACACACTTGCACATGTCCTTACCCACTACTTCATACACACACAGGTAAACCACCGTAAGTGTACAAAACCATTGAAATACATTTGGGCAGGTTAAATATAGTGCATTTGTGCTGTCAAAGTGACTTTAGAAAGATGCTCAGCAGCTAGGACATATATGAGAAATGTGCTCAGTGGATGCCAGAGGGAGAATGGGAATTAAGCAGGAAGCAGCAATTAATTAGCTGCAGCAACATGTGTCAGATCTGCCCATCTGCAATAGCTTTCTTGTTGCTTTTTGATTTGTTTATTAGTTGTGGTGTGTGCTTTTTTTTTCTTTTTTACTTTTTTTTTTTTCTATTTATGATGAGGAAACTGATTTTTTTTTTCAGCCAGTATACCAGTATAAAGTCCAACTTCAGCAATGGTAAAGCAAAGCACAATTTTCTCACCTGATCCTATGGGGCTGCTTATTTTTGCCTCCTGTGGGCTACTGGAACTGTGAATGAGCTATTTAATTCTAAGTCTAGCAAATTGCTGCCTTCCTGCAGAGATCAAGACCAGCAGAAATAGAAAAGAGCTTAGTGTATGGAGGTAAAAAACAAGTCTAGGGTCATGTTTGGGGGTAGCACCTCAGGGTAGATAATGAGTTTTCTTTATGGG